CACCTTTTTCCCTTGTTCAATGGTGACTTTATCGGAACAATAAGGAGCGGCATGTTCTCGAATAATATCGTTCACAAAGGAATTTACACTGAACCACCAGATCATGTTAGATTAGACTTTCCCGAAGCAGCAGATCATAAAACCCCACGATACTGTGGGGCGTGAAAGTAGACCCGCAGTCGCCTGCCAACGCGTTGGTCAGAATCCACACATTGTTCCTAGCCCTAGACCGAGAAATTTGTACAGAGGGAAAATTAAGAGAATTCTATCCTGAATTTTTTCCTTCTTTCTTTGCCTTTCACTTCCCTGAGTTTTCTTAGATAGAAACCGTAATCTCCCACTTCCCAGATAACCTCCACCTGTTTTCCCTAAACACTATGTGACCTCTTCCCTGTGCCGCTTTTCTCCGGAAGCATCTACATCTGTAAGGGAGGTCGAGGGTACAGAAAACAAGGGCAGGTGAAAGTTCACTGAAGATGTCTTGACTGGCTGTCAGTGTCCGGAAAGAACGTCTTGCCTCACCCATATGGAACCTCCCCAGAATGCTCGAGTACCCCCCCCCCCACTTGCTCTAAACCAAATGTATTAAATAGGCATGCGTAAATGATCACTCGATAACATTAGCCAGATGCCGGTACTCAAAAAGATTAGATAGGTATGGTGGTGTAGGTAAATCCCCATGGTATATCCCATGCCAACCGCAGTGCCCAAAACACTTTTCTCCTGCGGTATCTGATGTATAGTGGTAGGGCTAACGGAGTCAAGACATGAATGAAGATCAGAATCTGATGATGTAATTATTCTTAATTATTGGTAACGAAAACGAAAACGCAATTGCAAATATACTACACAAAGAGCAAAGCCTAGATCCTCTGTTGGAACCCCATACTATGATACTATAAGCAAAAAATACCCCTGGAAACTCAATTTCGAGCATTCCATGCATGCCAAAACAAAAGAGAATATACAGGGCACCTCCAACAGGCCGGCCCGATATCCCTCAGCTTTACCAACAGTCGCCTAGTACCGCAGTTTTTAGAACCCGAGCGTTAGGTAAAGGCTCGGGGCAAGACGGCAGTGTCAAGGAGACAGTGGACATACGCCGAAAAGGTTGAGCAAGACTCGCGGGGTGGTAGCGGAGGTAGTAGGAGCATCTATGGGGCAAGAGGGAAAGTGGTGCAAATGAGGGATCGAAGGCGGCAAGAGGGTTTATGCTTCCGAGGGCCTTGGCCGAGGTGGATGCGAGGGTTTCCAGGCTCGTATTAACTCTACGACTCCGCTATTCCCCCTACCAGTAGCGAGTAAGAGTGGTGCTCAACCGAACCTGTCTAGAAGTTCTATATTGACACCCCCATCCAAGTAGGAGCTTTACCACTCCTTTGTGCCTATTCTAGGGAGCATACAAGAGCGATGTCCGACGGGGCCCGTTTTGCCTGTTGGACTGACATCCCCCTATCTCACTTCCTTGTGCCCACTCCCAGCAGCATGGGTGAGTAGTGCTCAGCAGAGCGATCCTCGCGCGCCAGGGTTGGCGTCCCCGCTGTGTCAGTGGTTGCTGCACTATTCGCTTGTAGCCCTATATGGTAGGATACGATAGTGGCGTTTGGCCATCACGATCTGGCTTACCGGGACCGACATCCTGCCGCTCTGGTAGTAGCTGGACCACTCTTTCGTGCCAACGCAAGCAGCATACGCGAGCGGTGTTCGACCGAACGTGTCTAGCCCGTCTGGGTTGACATCGCCTCGTGCGAGCAGCAGCCTCACCAGTCCCTCATGCCCTTTCACGGCAGTCAAAATAGTGGGGCTTGGCCAACATCGCCTGGCTTCTCGGGATTGACACCCTGCCCTAGTGAAAGCTGCACCACTCCCCCGTGCCCGTTCTCGGCCGCATGCGATAGTGGCGTTAGGCATTGATTTTCTGGCTTATCGGGGTTGACATCCTCCTGCCCCAGTAGCAACTGCACCACTCCCTCGTGCCCATTTCGAGCGGCCCATCCCAGTGGGGTAATACCCATGAAATCTCCCCCGTTTATATCAAAAACCCCCAGTTCCATCAGAGCACTCACAACCCCAACAAGTCCGAGGAAGGATACACAGTGGAGTCCTGTGTCGGGGAGAATGCCCCCCTTGTCAGCGAGATAGTAGCGACATCTGGACTCCAAAAGCAGCCCAAAGGATATGTGGTTATGGTACCGCCTAAGGAGCTTCAGCGCAAGAAACCTCACACGATCTGAAGGCTCCCATTTCCTGTAGGTTCCCCAGTCTAAAAAATGTTCGAGGAAGGATGACCTGAATGTTGTGATGCAGATCAGCTGAAAGGCTCATGACCTGCTGGGAATTTAGATGTCAGGTAGGTCTTGGCGATCCCCGAGCGAGAGCTCTGGAAAAGGTTTTGATGACTGGAGAGATACTCCCAGAACGTGAAGTGGATCAGCCGAACAGCCGACCCTTCTCTATCCACCATTACAAGCCCTTGGTAACAGATTAGCACTAACCATATCGAGGAGAGATGGCCCGGATCAAATTAGTGGATCCCACTTTGACCGCCAGAGTGTGACACGGTTCATCTGCTTTCAATGGCCGCTCCGAATGACATATCCACCTCAAAGCCACCATTCCGAGTCTCGACCTATCCCCACCCTGAGCTGTTATGCGTTGAAGAGTGACACCGTACGCATCTCCCAAGCTCAAGCCATTGTTCACTCCACGAAGCTTCTCCCACCGTCGGCTGATGGTTGGCTCTTGTAGGATCGCTTCAACACTCAGAGACACCAACAGAAATCTAGGCATATATCTATCAATGGATGCTCTCAGGCAAGTTTCTCCGGACAGCCGATCGTACCCACATCTCTGAGACGTTTCAGGAATCTCCCTCACAATCTCCGCCTCCTGTCTTGAGTCCATTTCATCGGGGGTTGTGTCTTCCTCCAATTTCCTGCGAATGTAATCAATTATATCATTTCCTCAAGGACTTATAGATACAGCCACCGTTCCTCCAGGGAGAGGGCTTTCCAACTAGTCCAATAATTACACCAGAACTTTGTGAAAACCAACATCAGGCTTGTATCTACTGTATTGGTGTAGAACAGAGACCACAAAAATGTTTGGGCATATCCATCCCATATGCTAATTCAAAAACCCGCACTGCCACAAATGAACACCCCAAGTCCCCAGACGCGAACGGGCCTGTCAACCGTCAGCCCTGCGAACAAGCAATCGGCTGCGAAGATTCTCGTTTGAAAAGCAAGCTAGCACAAGTTAACCCACTACCCATACCCGTCGGAAAATTGCACTCAACGGAGGTTATGGGTCAATTTCCCTATCCCCAGTTATAAGGGATGATACCGCCGTTGTAATAATAATATTATTATGCTATAATACCTCAATATTGCCCAAATCACCCCTCAATCATTCCTGGACGCCAGGAGCAAACCCCCCAATACCAAGACGCAATCAGACTTGTCAATGAATGGCGCAGAACCACACAGCTTTGGACCTCCAGAATTAAATCTACGATACCGCAAGAATAACTCCCCGTTGTAAAATGTTGAAAACCATGCTTGTGCACCCACCAAACCGGTTGTAATTCTTGTTTGAAGTTGTACTTCTTGCTTGATTGATGCTCTACTGGGGGGCTATCAGGCCCTACTTATGCTATTCAAGAGCACGCTACAACCGCCTATGACATATACCTAGTGCGAGAGAAAAAAAGAAAAACAAGAACAACAATACAACATAGCCAAACAGTAAAGAGAAATGAAACGCGAGCGAGATAACCAAACTAGTACTGCGATAGAGTTTCTGTGGAAACTCTGTAGTAGTCAACTGTGTAATGAGCTCAATCGCATAATGAACCCATATTAAAATATTCTGTCGTAGTCAATGACAAAACCAATTCATATTTAGAAGTCATATTACAACAAAACCTCCCCTCCTGCGAGTGATACTCTATGACTGCCTACGTCACTCTCGTGTCCATAGGCCTATCTCTAGGCAGTGGGCACTGATTCCCCTCCTCCCCCCGTTCATAAAACAACCAACACCGCACACTCGACCCCTGTCCCTAAGATTCCATTCAGCACCCCCATAGAGCTGGCATGACAGTCTCTCCCGGAACACCTCTTTTGGAATTATTGTCAATGCTACACTTAAAGCACACATTCTCAAAGTTGCACAAGGGTCCCATAATTGATGTATGGCCGGCTTACCCACTGCTAATATGCTAGCTCTTACCCCACCGTGCATTGCACGCTATCATATTCAGTCCACTCTTTGTGGTTTTACGATGATGTTCACGGCTTATCACTCGATCCCTCCATTCCTGTCCCTGGCTAGGATCCGCATAACGGGTGCTGGTGCATATGATCCGAGATGGTACGGATACGCAATGCGAAAGCACGGCCCTAAGGAGACCTCGGGGGAGAAGGGGCAAGGGATATCTCGAAAATGACTGGGGCCGGTGCCTCAGACATTGCTTTATCGCGAAATTTCTCGACGATGCCAACCACTTTTATAGCACTTCCGAGCTGTGCGAGATCTGATGGCTACTTCACCATCCTCAACGTGTTGCCTGAGGGTGTTCGTTGAACAGTAAACAAGTTCATGCCTGCAGTGAGCAGAGTTGTCCTTTTCCACATCCTTAGTCCATCCTTAGTCCCGGTTAGGAAGAGGTTTCTCCGCTAGCTTAGCTATTGGAGAGTCATGAGAAATTAACAAAACATAAAATATCACCCGAATTTCAGTTCTGTTGCTTTTTTCCCATCTAGAGGGAAGGTAGGGTAACCCTTTGTCCAGGCATTACACCCGGCGTTACAAGCAAAATTGTCCTATCATAGAAAGTTAGTACGGAGTTTTGTCTTCTGGAACCATACATGCCGAATAATTCCTAATGTGCTGGACCAAGCTAAGCAGTGCGGAGCATTGACACATATTGCTGCGAAAACCTAATACGAGCACGATACTTAAGGCGAATGGGAAAATGGGTGGTGCGAAATTTCCGCTCGGTCTGTGTTATGTATTTATTTGGGATCGACGAGATAGTGTGAATAAATAGGGTAGACGGATAGATGGGTGGATGGATGGGAAAAGCATTGGGTTACATTGAAGTGCGAAAATTGGTGAAAAAAGGCAGGTTAAAGGAAAACATGACGGATGGACGGATGGACGGATGGGGGTGTCATAGTTGCAAAAAAAAAAATGATAAATAGAAGACGTGGAACAGCGCAGAAAATATTCAGGATAGGGGAAATGAGGATGAAGGAAAGAAATCACTTTCTGGTTAGCTGGTACAAATAGCAATTAAAGCGTTTCCCTTTGATTCTCTTTTTCCTCATTTCTCATTTTTTTGCTCGTTTCTTCCGAACCATCCACCAACCACCTACTTGCCCCTCCTCCACCTAAGAGAATGCCGGCCCTAGAGTAAAACATTTGTGGGGAAAAAAAAAAGGAGAAACAAAAAAAGAGAGAAACAGGAAAGGAAAAAAGGTAGACAAAGAGAAAAGCTCAGAAACCCGAACCAAATGAGAGAAAGTGTAAGTTATCCGAAGAAAAACAGTCAATAATGTGCTTTTAAAACACCTCCACAAATTGATTCCCTCTATTGCGTTTTCCCAAGCAGTTTGTTTTTTGGTATCCGTTGATGGCGAGAATGGTTCACATGTCCATGCTATCCCCATTGGCAAAGTTGAAGCCCCCCTGCTGCGGTTGTGCACCAAAGCTAAAGGTACCAGCTTGGCCATCTTGCTGGGGTTGGGGAGCCAATCCCTGAATCTCCGCCCCGGTCTCATCGTCCTCATCAGAAAAGTACTTTTCGATGATGTTATACGCTTTCATGTAGATTTCCTCATTGGCATTATTTTGAGCGGCATGGATCCTCTCCATTCCACCAGCCTCCTCGATGAACATAGCATAACGGTTCATGTTGTCGGTCTCAGCGTTCTTGTCCATGTCGCCAACCTTCAGGATATTCTCGAGACCATCGAGGGCAACCTGAATGATCTTATTGTCCATACACCCGAGAAGGTCGCAAAGAGGTCTGATGCATCCTTGAGAAACGAGATATCTAATTTGTTCGGGCTTTTGGAGTCCTCCACTAGTTGCATTCGAAATTGCCCAGCAAGCTTCCTTACGGGTCTTAAAGTCGCCGTGCGAGAGGAGGTTGATGAGTGGGGGGATTATGTTGGCATCAATGACCGCCTGGATCTGGGTCGAATTCCCGGCGGTAATGTTGGAAATAGTCCAACACGCCTCCTTTCGGATCCCATCCTTGGGCGAACCCAACAGAGCTAGGAGGGCAGGGAGAGCGCCGCAATTGATAATAACCTGTGTTTGCACATCATCTCCGGTAACGATGTTACCAACTGAGCGAAGGGCGGGAGTCTGAACTGAGGTAGACGAGTGCATCAAAAGTTCGACAAGGCGCCGCGGAATTCCATTCTCAATGACCGCTTGGATCTTATCATTGGAGCCATCCGATAGATAAGAAATAGCCCAACAGGCGTCAATCAGGACTTCATCATCCAGAGAATACACCAACTTTGCGAGGACCGGAAGAGCCGGAAGGATCTGAAAAACTGTATCAGCACAACTGCACTTTAGAGGTATCCCCATGTTTCAGAAAACTCACCGTAGGCCAATCCGGTTGAGGGGTCTTTCCACGGCAAAAGTTGCTCAACGTCCAAGTAGCATTCCTAAGCATGCTCAACTTCCGGCTATCGCCCAAGAGGCTCAACAGAGGTGGCAGAGCACCAGCAGACAAAACGAAATCCCTGCATTGTGGCGAATCACCAGCAATGTTACCCAGAGCCCAAACAGCCTGCTCTCTAACATCTGGCTCGTGGCTAGATAACAAGTCGACGAAAATGGGAACAGCGCCAGCCTCAATGACAACTTGAGTCTGTGATGCAGATCCGGACGCAATATTGGTCAAAGCCCAAGCCGCCTCAAATTGAACGAGAGTATGGGGTGAGCGAAGAAATTCTACGAAGCGAGAAACCACGCCACATTCGATAACTTTCTCAATGGGAGGATTGCGCTCCTTCGACAAAAGTTTTCTGAATCTGGTGGTAGCCTGAATTTGTTGATCAATTGATTCAGAAAAAACACCGGCGCACATAGACGGGAGGTCCTCGTTTAGCTGTAAAACAGCATTAGCGCGTTAGCGAGCCCAAATTTTGTACGACGACGGCAAAACCAGACGATATAGCGTAGGGAGAAAACTTTTCCGTCAAGTAGGGGAATAAAACAGTAACTTTCCCAGGCATCATTATCATGGGGAGTTCGTTCAAGAGTCTGAACGACTCGAATCTCGATAGTGGAGAATCCCGTATCGATGCCAAGATTATGCATATTGGGGCAGTTTTATTGGAAACAAAGCAGAGCAGGGACTGATTCGCGGGGAAGGCGTGGGGTAAACAAAAGAAAAACGAGAAGAAGAAAGAAAAAAACTCACCTGTGATTCGGTTCCTCCCTCTTCGTCGCTATCGACGCCAGCTCCGGGTGCAGGGCTAGTTACGGCCATATTTCTCCGTTTTGCCAGATTCTCCTCCCGCTTCTGCTTTCGGATCTCCACCTGCTGCTCCTCGCGACGACGTCTCAACTCATCGGGCTTGAAGTTGGCCTTCGCCTTAAAGTTGCGTCTATGCTCAGGAATGTATCGGTCGGCCATGTTTGACGGATGTTTTTGGTGAAAGATTGATTTTGTTGTTGCTGCTGTTAGAAGAATTCGTGTTGGTTGATGAAGGGAAGCAGGCTGGTGGCGGGGTGAGAGGAAGATGAGGGGTGCGGAGGTGTGAGACGGGGGGGGATAAGCAACGATAACCTAGCAGTGGGGGTAAAGGGTTATGGAAGAAAGGCAGAAAACAGCCACCAACTGCTACAGAACGCAGGGCAGGGCGGGTGAGAGGAGATGAGGATAGAACGATTTGCAAGCTATGAATGAGATTATTAAAATTTCTATCCCTTCGCTTTGTGAGGATGGAGGATGGAGGTAGAGGAAAATAGAAGGGAAGAAGAAAGAAAGAACAGATCCGATAGGGGGCAAGAAAGTCTATCAACCGGCAGAGGTAAGCAAGCAGCTGGCAACAACAACACACAAAAGCCGACACGGTGGGAGCAACCCTTTCCCCGTAAACGCGTTTTTCCCCTTCTTTTTCTTCATCCCTAGTTTGTTTCCAGCCGGTGACTGACAGTCTCCCTTTGCCTTCCCCTGGATGGCTTCCAAGTTACTCCCATGGTCCGGCACACATTTATTCAGCAACTATGGCAACTATTATAACAATGCGAAGTTTCAATGCTTCAACCTCCAGTTCAGATGAATTGTCCCATCTCGCATCTCCCGCCCGAATCAGGACGTAATATGTTATGAGTTGAGCTTTTGTTATGTGTCATGTGATACCCAACTCAAGTTCTTCTGGGAACAGTGCTTCCACCATATTATGATACCAGTAATTTACTTGTACAGTACAGTACCAACAATACTCGAGTACAGTACCGGTAGTATAGTAAATTTACACCCACGGTCTTGGTCCCGCTCCGGGAACATCAGTGTACTCGAGTATGCTGCTGAAGATAGGCCGAGTTCCATACAATACCTTCCGCTTCATCCAAAATCCCCTATAGCGCTGCGATATCTCACAGGACCCTCCGAATCTTGACTCGTTGCGTGGAATAGTGAGGCAGCCCCAATTCTAGTACCCAATTGCGCCACCACCACCACCACCATAACATACACTCGAGTACCTGTATCAAGACAAAAGCGATAGTGCAATAACCTCATATAGGATACGCACACTAGGAAAACAGGTGAACCATACACCGCATTACAGCAAAGAAGTATCTTTCATCGTGAGCGCAACTATCATAGTATTCATACATAGACTATCCCTCACACTCCCACCACCACCACCAATCCGATTATGAGAATTCAATAACTTCCGTCCATCCATCATCCCCTTGAGAGGGAGGGAAACAAAAAATGAAGAAAAAAAGACGGAAAATGTAACGCCCCGAGAACATGCCAGCCACCGCGCTCCCCACAAATGATAACAGGTGAGAAAAAGAGTGAAAAGTGAGGAGGAACGAAATCTTTCCTAAGAACTCTAATAATTAACAAACGCGTTTATACCCATCTACCTGTATTCGTTTCTGTGCCTGCCGAACCGGGGCCCCAGGAGACCCACGACGTGCCTGTGTTATGTGTCCCCTGCTCGAGGTCTACGTTACAGTCAACGTCGTCATCGTCGCTAAAGTCCACCTCTTCCGAAGATTTATTCATCCTTCTCAGAGGGACTCGCTCACCTCCGCTTCCTGTCCCTGTCATGTCGTGATCGCTGTAACTACCGGGAATCCTTCCAAGAACCCTCTCCGCCTTAGATTGTTGCAAATGAGCACTGCTGTTGGCAGTAGCATGCTTTACAAGGCCATTTGGATTCCCTCCCTTCCAGTTGCCCCCCGAACCTGGTGCTTCACATCCCCAGCCCGCACGACGCTCCCTTTCCCCTTGCTCACGAGCTAGCCTCTCCCGCTCCTTATTCATGGCCTCTACGGCGGTCTTCCATTCGCTACTAGTCTCCCAATTCCAACCGTCCCCGATGCCGGAGAATACGGGTATGAACCATCTCATCCACTGATCCTTTCCCCCGAACACCTGTTGAAAGTTCTCCCTACGGCCGAGATGGAATGCATGGGGCAGATTATTGGATGCTTCCTCCATTATATAGGTGTTGTAGCGCTGGAAAGCCTCGATATTCTCTTGCCTGGCCTGGTAGTTAGGATCGTCGTAGAGATGGTGAGCATCCTCGGGCGGGGGTGGGCAGCGACGAGACAATGTTGGCGAGTTATAACGGACCTTCTCCAGCGATTCGATTGTTGTCATGCCGGAGGCTACCAAAGTTAAATGCCATATGGTGAATCCGCTAAGAACCAACCCAATCACACCAGCAACGACCGCTAGGAGGACCCAATTAACGGGGGTCAAGTCCTCGGGCGAATATTTTTTCTCGCCAGTAGAAAAGAGCTCCTGATAAACATATATGCATGAAACAACGAAGCACAGCAGCGAGAAGACGGATGTATATATGAGAAATAGGAGAAAAGCCTTGTAGTTGTAGAGCCCAAGGCAATTGGACAACCACGGGCAATGGTGGTCCATCTTTAGCACACATTTCCGGCATGTGGAGCAATGATGGGTGCGATCCGGTTTCCGGCATTCACACTTTTTGCAAAAGCGCTCCTGCCCGCTCGACTTTACCGTGATGGAGGAGTGGTAAGCGGTTTCAGTGGTGGGGAGATGAGAGTACGCGTGTTTATCCTGCAAGAATAGCGCAAGCGCGTGAGGTCAGCAAATATATGGTGTCCGGGCGGTGAATGTATAGGGGAAGGGGGCGGGGAGGCGCATTCACATACCGTGTCCATGGGGGATCCGGGGTTCGTGAAAACAGCAGTGGTGTAGGACCAGTTCGCAAGAGCACACAGGGCGAATCCCATAAAACTCAGCACACCACCTAAGGGTGGCCAAGGCAACAATCGTCAGCGAAACTTGTCGATTCGGAGATGGACATTCCATCCCAAAATGTATCCATCAATCGGCGGCCCCTGCTAATCACCCAGAATTCATGGGATAGAGCGATACCTTTCATGCCGCCAACATTCTGCCAGCAGATACTGTAGGAATATGTGTAGACGGCCCACGAAAGTGTGCTATAGACGAACAGCAGTGGGAAGTAGGTTGCGAGGGTACAGCACAGCTTGTCGGTCCGCCGACAGGAGAACCTCGCTTTTCGCCTTGGTGAGCCCATGGCCGGCGATAACATGGGGGAGTCCATGGATGGTTGGGAAGGGGCTCTGTGGGGAGCGAGAAGGATACGGCAATCGAGTGAGAGCGATGTGTGATATATGTTTGGTCAAGTATTTTCGAGGCTTTCTAGTGCGTAGGTGATGGGCGAGAGGCCTCGAGCTGGAAACCCTTACCGGTACTCGAGTATGATATGATACAAGTATGATACCGGTATGATAAGATACTACGAATGTACCCGAGTAGGCTGGAGGATTTATTGCTAAGGGCAGAGGGATGGTTCGGCATCCAAAGGAATTTCTTGGCTTTCCATACAGTTCACAGAGAAAGGCGCTCTGGCGTGCCGGGGGTGTTTGTTTCCTGTTGGCAGCGTAAATGTCGACCCTGGCCGTAATGATAGGGGCAGGGGTAATCTAGGGTTAGAGGGATTCAACAATGGGTATTGTTGTTGGCGGGGTTGCTCGGGATGGAGAGCACGGGCACAGTACCGGTAACTTATAGGGTAGCAAGGCCTTGGATAGTCTAAAGCCACGTTGCAGTGTCGTATCGTGCTGGACGAGCACTGTACTCGAGTACAAGTACGGTACTCTGTACGGGTACTCGTACTTGTATCATACAGCGGGTTGAGCGAGGGATCATGGATGGCCAGGGGGAGCAAACATCCCGGCGGTCAGTGGCGGAGGGAGTGAGGCGGTGATTGCCAGTTGTTAGCAATCTCACATGAGGCTGAGAGACCTCACAAAACTGCCCTGTGATACCGGTGCGAGTATGGTAGCAGCGGTCTACTCGAGCACTCGTACCGGTATGATACAACATCCGAATTGTGACGACGACTTGTTCTATTTCGGGTGCCATCTCTCCCAACACAGCCACCGATCCCCCCTGCCCCTTTACAAATATGACCATTCTGTTGAAGGCGAAACCTGAAACCGTATCAAACGTGCAACATAAGTGAGGTCCTCAACGCAGTACGAGTACTCGTATGATACAAGTACCGGGGACCGGTTCAGTACTGTACTGAGCCTCTAGCCTGTGCGTACAGTACTCGAGTAGCTTTCCCTCACCTTGCAGATCCAGAGTCTCGGGGGGCAAGATGCTCGCCCCATTCAGTATGATACCGTTCTGTGCTCGTGCTGTATTCTACCCCAGAACCTTGTCCTTTTCTCATCATTGCCGGTAGTTTACTAGCCGCATACTGTACGAGTACGGTACACCTCATACTGGGACCCCATTTGCCCGTCCTTCCGCTGATTCTCTGCATCCTTTCCTTTTTGCATTTTTGCATACACACTTGTTTGTTTGTTATATATCATACCGGTACTCCCAGTGTCGCCTTTGATACATCCACATCCCCCCCTCCGTTAAATAAGGCAGGTGGCCCCCTTCACAATCACCACCACCACCACCACCACCACCACAATCACCGCCGCCGCCAACCTCTGTCCGAGTTTATCGTTGTGTTGCTTGTATCATCAACCCGAGAAAACCTGAATAGTTAATATTATTCGTGAAATACTATCTGTGAGTGTCTTCCTACCATACTATTTCCCCCCCCTCTCCCACACATATCCGACACCCCCACACACAGTGCTCGTACTGGTGTGACAACCGGTACGGTAGGGCACGGGTAGACATTGATTACAACTTCCAAAATCCTTCTCCTTTTTCCCCACACCGTATTAGACGCTTGAGACAGTTTGTCTGACATCCGCTGACCCCGTCCGTCAACTCTCAGACACCCATCGCTGGTCCAACCGCGCCTGCCAACCGTCTCCCCTTCCGGCTGCCCTCCGCCTACCTTCCCGTGCTCTTCTCATCATTGACTCCACCTTCATCCAGTTCACCGCATCTTTACTCCATCTATCGTCGATTCCGGCGCCGTCCTTTGTCTATCTGATCACGGCTTCCATCCCAGCCCGTCATGGCGGCTGCTGAGTTCTACAATACAGGCCCCCATCCCAGTGGGAGCCATGGCCCCAACGACGACGATGATTACGATAGACACAATACACACTCACCCATCTCTTCCATTTCCAATAGTGCATCTCCAGTGCACAAGCCTTTACCCTCGCAGCCTTCGTTTCCTCCCACACATGCCGCTACCGGCTACAGCGACGATTTCTTTGGACGTCCTCACTCGACCCAGTCAATAGATACAGCATATCATCCGCATGAATTCGATCGGCCAATAAGCCCATCACATTCAAGTTCTTACAGCTCCCACGACCCCTATGGAAAATCCGCCGAACCTTATAACGATGATATCCCGCTTAACGATACCCGCCCGAGTCAGAATTCATCGCACAACTTGGCGGCTGTCGAGGGTGGTGGGTTTTCCGGTCCAAAGGGCAAGAAGGGAAAGTCTTCTTTCCTAAAATCGAACAAGGGGCGAAGGCCATGGTTTTGCTACATCATGGCGGCAATTCAGATCTCGGTGTTTATCGCAGAGTTGGCACGCAATGCAGCACTCACAAAGACGCCCATTGCGATCAAACCGCAGTTCAATCCTATGATCGGTCCTTCGGTTCATGTCCTCATTAATATGGGCGCAAGGTTTGTGCCTTGCATGAAGACTATTAAGGACATCACCGACAAACCCGGAATCTCATATCCCTGCCCCAACACTACGGTTGAGGATACATCACGGGAAGGATGCACTCTCGCGAAATGGTGCGGCTTTAATGGGGCCAACATCCCGAGTGACCTTGGAGGAGCTGCACAAGCAGGTAGCGAGCCTAACCAATGGTATCGATTTATCACACCAATATTTTTACACGCCGGGTTGATTCATATTGCGTTTAACATGCTAGTTCAGCTCAAACTTGGTACGGAAATGGAAAGGGATATTGGGCATTTGAGATTTGCCATAGTATATTTCGCAGCAGGGATTTTCGGGTTTGTGTTTGGAGGAAATTTTGCTCCTAACGGACAGCCTAGCACGTGAGCCTCTACAAACATTCCCGGGAAAGAATACGCACTGACGCACTGACGCACTGTAGGGGTTGTTCCGGATCTTTGTTTGGAATTTTTGCATTGATGCTTCTGGATTTGTTATGGACTTGGGGGTCACGCAAGTCGCCGAAGAAGGATCTCGCATTTCTTCTGGTTGAAATCATCATTTGTTTTGTCATTGGACTGTTACCTGGCTTGGACAACTTTTCACATATTGGAGGATTCCTCATGGGGCTTTTTCTGGGGCTCACCGTCTTGCATTCTCCACCGTCGATCCGACAGAAGATCGGGGCCGGTGAACCACCCTACACTCCGATGACAACCAACAGGCCGCCGTACGCTGCGAACCCCCATTCCACGCTTCCCGGTGGTTTTGGAGGGTTTTTAAAGAACCCTGCGGGGTTCTTTAAGGGGCGCAAACCGCTCTGGTGGGCGTGGTGGCTTGTTCGTGCAGCTACCCTTGCGACAGCGCTAATCGTCATGGTTGTCCTTATCAACAATTTTTACAAGTACAAGAAGACTTGCGGATGGTGTAAATACCTCAGCTGTCTGCCCGTACTCAACTGGTGTGAGATGGGTGCGTTGACTATGACAAACACCACCACTAGTAGTGACACCAGTGATAATCCTGCGAGAATGTTGGCGAGAAGCCTAGCTCCCCAAGACCTGGCTCAATTTCTTTGAAACCATCTCCTCTGCTTATGTTCTTTTCCCCCACGCTGTCGTTGCTCTGGCTTATAAACAAAAGCTTTCCAGCGGCATGCGAAAAATACCCTTGTTCGTCCTGTTTTGTTTCTTGGTTAAATTCCAAGGATTGTTGATGTGGCTCTTTTTCTCTTTCTTATCATTTCATCACAAGGTGGAGTTGTGTGTTTTTTCTTTCTTGAGAAACTCCGGTTGCCGTGCTCCCTTCGAAGTGGGTGCGTATCCGCGGATGTCACGGACAAACATTGGGGAAAACTGGCGTGTACAGTATAGTGGTAATGGTTTATTGCTTTTCTAGATGAGCGGAAGTGGACACATGGGACATGTTTGACGTGTTTTAAGTTGGCATGTATCATGCATCATGGTGTTATATTTTTCTTGATGATACTTTCGAAAGCAGCATATTTCACACTCGGGGTGGGCAGGCCCAAAGGAAGAAAATGCATAGGATAGTCATAGAAGGTGCTCCTGTACAGTACTTGTTTGTTATATACGCAAAGGAAAAAACAGCAAGAGGTCTCGATATTGAGAAGCAAGAAGAACCGTAATGTTGCAAATTATTTCACCTCTCGTCCCACCATATTTTGCAATATCGCTGCTTCCCTACTCATCAACGTGTGAGTTCTCCTGTTGCCTTTTGATTCACACACAGAATAGGGTAGGTGCAGTAGAAGCCCCAACCCCACAACGTTCCACACCTGTAGGCCATAATTTAGTCTAAGTTAGTATCGTCATATGCTTCAATATCTGGAATCTCCCGAGTTAAAGCGGGTGAGCGCTCAGCGAGGCAGCACTCTCAGCGAGGCACCACATGTCTTGGCGACAACCAAACCGCTTTTCACATAGAGCAACCAAATTCTTTTTTCTTTTTTCTCTTTTCTCAATACAACCTTCCCGATACCAATATCAGATTGCCTCTAGAGTATCAATCTACTTTGGAGGTTTTAACAACAAACCAGCGACAAGTCCACCAATTCAAGTTCCTTTTTGGGAGCAGAGGCTTAATTGGCCTCTGCTCTCTCTTTAAAACCTTCTTCTAGTTCACACTCATCAAATCCACTTTCTGCCTCTTCCTCTGGACTTCCAATCAACCTTCTGGCCTCTCCTACATCTTGCATCAATTCCTCAAGGTGTTTCTCGAATTTCTTCACCCTCCGCTCGGCTTTAGCAACCTGTTCAACAAGTCTGCCTTCTTCCTCTAATAGGGTAGATCCTGTCTTTCTTCGCTTTAGTAGGTTTCCCTCCTCTTCTAACCTTTCTACCTCTGTTCTTTTCCTTACACATTCAGCTAATTTTTGTTTTCTTACAGTGACTACATGGATTGCATTATCATATCCCTTTTGAGTGACTTTGCATTCCTCATTTGTTTGGGATTCAAAGAATCGTGCGATATCTTCAAGTTCTATCCATGCCTTTCCCGCTGTTGGTATTCTTGTTTGATTTGTAGTCTTTTATGTTGAATCTGGACTAACTGTTGCTTTGGGTTCAACAGTTGACGTTCTTCTCTTCCACTTCTGTGAGTGCTCTAGTTGAACTAACTGCCAAATTACTAATTATCTTTTTTAGTCCCCAGTCTGTTGGAGTGTTTTGCGATAAGGTTGCAAGTACGATCAATTCCTGTCTTTGGATTTCAACCTTACTTCAAGGTATCTCTAAGCTATCAATCTCCTATGCTGTGAAGTTGCTTAATGGCTTAGGACTAGGAGATCTTGGTGGGATATGTGGAGAAATACTTAGTTGGATAGCTGTAGAGTTAGGATTTTCAGATGTCAAATAAGCTTCAGAGGAATTAGATTGCATGGGTTGGACTTTTGTGATAATTATTTGTCAGTTGATGGGAACGAGTCCAGTATTTCAGAATCCACTCCAAATATTGGCTTGGGTAAATGATACTCGTCGTGCTATCATGAGGATCTCATAAAAGTTGTTTTTAGAGACTCTATACTCATTTTTCTCAAAATGATGGGTGAGTTCTTTTCGATACTGATGCTTGTATGGACTAAAAATACAAATATCTAGAGGTTATAATCGGTGTATCATATGGGGAGGAAGACAATAGGGAATAATCTTATGTGCAATACAGAATTCTAAAAATCTAATATTGACGTGACTGCTATGCCTATCGAAAAGTAAAAGTTGAGAATTATCTCCCGCCTATTGTACAGAGAAGCTATCGGGTCTGAAGTTTCATTGTAGGTATTTGGAAGCCATGTTTTCATCGGTCTACCCATTATGTGAACGTCTAAAAAGTATATCTTCTGATACACCTTTTACCTTTCTAAACTATTCGGCTATGAACTCTTCTGCCATTAGGATAATTATTGGATTTAGAGATGTTCCATCTGCACAGATACCTTCAATAACTGTAACAAACTCTCATGTACCATCTGATATATTGTAAGTACTTTTTCTTATCAGTCTATTTTTAATATATACTAATTGAAAACTTACTTTGAGTACAATATTTCAATTTTCCATTCTCTTGGATTTCTTATCATATCTAATACACATTCTGACTGACCAAGCTCTAGTAGAAATCCAATCTCATTAATGTTATATGTATTTTCAGGTTTTATTTCATGCTCACTGATAATAACTTCTAACTAAATATATATTCCAGAGTTAATATTTAATTTAAATTCAAACTAATTCAACTTAAAGTTATAATAAATTTTGAAAACTTGAATAGAAAACTATATTGACATATGAAATTAAAAAAAAAAAAGATAATAAAATACCTCATCAAAGAAGCGATTCATTAATTCAAGATTATTTCCATGAATATTTCTGACAAAGTCCAACTGTTGACTAAATCGTGTTTTCACCTCCAGTTGTCTTTTCCTAAACCCCTCTTCCCATCTGTTGCCTAATCTCTCAGTTGGATTTCTCCTTTGTACAACAGAGGTGGCAATTTCTCACAATTGCCATATTGTCAGAGGAAACTCCAACTGGAAGGAAAAGTAGCAGCGCTTAATCACAATCTTCTCCTCTTCTGGCAACAGCTTTTACCTTCGCTGTCCCTCCTCCTCTCTGTTTCTTCTTCACTTCTGCCGATGCATAACTGTACTAGGTGCTGCCCCAATCATTGCCGCTGCACTTTGAAGGCTCAGAGCAGTTCCCATAGTGGCCATCTCAATAGCTATTGGTTCACGTACTCGGACTAGAAACGGGGGCTCGTTTGGCGCCATTATTGAAGTACTCTGGATAAAGGAGATTGAATTATGTATTTGTTGGTACGTTTACTCTAGATTTTGTTATAAAATTTCGTTTACTGATTGTGCTAAAATGCCAAGTCTCATAGTGCCTCGCTGAGGGTGCTGCCTCACTGAGGGCTCACCTGCTTTATCAATTACAATTTCGAACATAACAACTACAGAGAGCTATCTAAATATAAAAAATAAAAGCCTAGGGAGATTGATCATAATATTAAAAAAAAAGCACATCATAATGTACTTCTGTTAGGTGGAGACAACTTGATAGACTTAAAGATTATCTAGGCCAATCAAGATTCGTTTTTGTAGACAGAGATTATCTAGGAAGGCTCGGACTTTGCTCGTTTCGTTTATGACTACTAGGAGCGAAGTAAAGTAGGTAAAGTAGGGTAGAATCGTAAAAACAATATTATATTGCTAAGGTCTCTTCTCCGTTGCTTGATGATGTTTAAAGCTTGCGAGGCACTTCGATATTTATATTCCGCATCTGAGTGTTCGCGGACTACATCTATTTATCATACAACTATGTACTTCATTAATCGTAATTTGCAACGTTGAGTTTTCTTCCAAGATGCGAACACCTGTGGACCCTGAAAACTATCACATCCTCTTCAGTAATTACGGTATTTCTTTTTAGGAAACGTACTGTCCCCAATAGTAATATCCCAATTAGCAGAATCTTTAAACTTATAGCCTAGTTCTTAAGTCGAACTGAGTTGGCTCCAATTGTCTTCGCCATTGATAAAATGATCAGTCTTATCCACGGCTATATCTGCAAAGGTGGTTATCATTACAACCATCGTAGATCATTTGACTCCGATCCTTTGTAACTCCATACCCAACCAATAGATTTTCTTTGGATGACTTCCTATTAACTCGCAGGAAGCCACTCCACTAGACTGGTAATTAATCCCTCGGTTGGCAACCCTTGGTTGCTCTCTGGGTAGTAGGTTTCAGTAACCATTGTAGTATTAAGAATCACCCCATGGCTACGACGTATTCCAAAACCCAGTTACAACACTCCGTGAAGTTCGTTAGCTTCTTTGGTAGTGTCTTTTGGAGTTCTAAACTCTTCTGGTGTATGTAATTGTATTGGTCTCTAGTAGAGATCCTTTACCATTTGATACCATCTCTTTGTACGAAATCGTCCTGTTACCTACGGCCTATGCCAAAAGTGTCATGTCTTTGAAGCCCAGTAACTCTCTGCGTTGTTGGCGGAATTACTCCGTTCTACTTCCCAGGCCTAGCCGAAGGTCCTCTCACATATATTCTGCGAACAGGATCCGGTCGGACAGACGGCGACAACGTATATGGTATTATTCTAACACCTTCAATTCTGTGGTAATATACTCACAGGACGCAACTGAGATTGATATATATGATGACTTGTGGGCCCCGTAAGGGAGCCGGAGAGGGGTGTTGGAGACCAGAGATTCAGATTCCAAGTGGAGTTACCCTACTTAGGGTGGTTTCTAGGTATCAGATTCTGGTATTCCTAACAACTTCTCCAATAATGTCTGCTTCACATGTAATTGGTGATGAAGGAAGAGAAGACCGCAGAACTCTTCTTACTCTTGCAGCTGCCTGGTATGACAGAAATTGGCTGTTTGGGGATGATGGTGCTCAGCAAGTCTCTGGAGGAGGTTGCTGATACTCCTGCAGCTGAGCTTCAACCCAGTTGAGCATGGCTTGACATGTATGAGCGCGGGCCTCCACAGTATCCAACCTCTGTCCCACCTCCTGTACTAGTTTCCCGAGCTTTCCTGTCTTGCCATCACGATGGAATTGTTGTAGCAGCAAGGTAATCTCTCTGCCTCTTTTATTTGCATGCTCAGGCTGTACACGCTAAGGAGGGTGCAGAGGGAGGCCATTATCGTCATCATTATTGGAAGTGGCAGCTACCTTCAGTGAGATAGCAACATTCAGTGGTACAATACTAGCATGGCAAAATCCATACCAGGAATTTCATTCAGTGATCGCAGGAGCTTAAGCCTCATCGTAAATTTTGAAGAACAATGGAAATGTAATCTTCAAAATGCCTGCAGACATGTGTCGGTAGAGTTTATCATGAAATGACTGCTTCAGGACTCCCAAAGTCACCAAATAGAAAGGTTAAAGTAGGTGAGATAAATGTAGTAGAAGCCAAATAGGTACAACTTTATTGAAATAGCATAATTCGAAATATTGTTGACCTTTGTGGGAAGTATGTCTATCTAAGATGAGAATTTGCCAGGGTATCTGCTCTCCAACTTCAGAAGGCTTTGAATAGGGCAAGAACACTTTTCTTAACTACTCATGCCCTGTAGCCTGGGTTGCAAAGGCATTGTCTGTCCAAGCAAGGTAGAATTTGAAGCCTTCAACAAGTTGTTCATAACCTGGTAGAATACTCTTTGGAAAAACAGTCCCCTTCATGATGAACAACAGTGGGATGGATTTCTCAGTAGGGGTTATGCACTCAATGCATGTAACGAGTCTTGTGGTACCTGATAGTGTAGTGAAGGTCTAATTCTTTTCTGTAGTTGTAGCTTTCATCACAACTCATTTATAATATGAAGAATCGCCAATCGCAAGGTCAGATTCATCCATGTTCCAGATATCATGCAATTGTACCTTGTAATGGCAAAGGACTTACACCAATTGGTTGAAGAACTTTTTATTTGATTTAGATGGAATTATCTTGTAGTCATTTTTGAGGGCGGCTGCTCTGACAATCTTTAAATCTGAATGGTGCTTGATGAATTTGGCAACCTAATTCTTGCCTGGCACTGTTATCACAATCTCTGCAGCTATGAACCAAATTATTTGTGGAGCATATGGGAATCCACAGTCCTGCATCTTGAGAATCCAATCCTTTAATTCCTTCTCCTGAGCATGTGAGAGAAGTTGTCTATTTTCATTGTTTTCAGCACAGGTGGGGATTCTGGCACGCAACCTTCCTGTGAGTGTGTGTTCCTGGAGTAGGAGAAAAGAAGCTTGATTTTCCAAATGCAAAACAAGAGGAGATCCTAATATACTACATCCACTCAGCAGTCACACCAAACACTGTGGCCTATACCATATAGGCCACCTTTCAACACCAGGAAGTAGCCACCTTTTCAATATGATGCAGTAGTGATACTCTTATTCCGACATCCAACTATAAGAGGTACCCAATGCGGTAAACCACTTATAATTAGATCAGGTGTAGTCACAGATTGAGAAAACGAACAAAAGTCTTTTGACTAAAGGAAAAGAAAGAACTACCTCTGTATGGCGGACAGGGACTAAGTCCAACACTTCCTAGGGACATTCATTCGATTCTGCGCATTTTCGAGATTTTTCGGATTGACTGTCCATTTTCAAGTAGTGGCTGGAAGCGGGCTGTATTGGCAAAAGTAGCAGTTCTCTGTTGTGGTGACATGGAGATGGTTGGAGGTTGGACTGCTATAGTCTACAGAGGCGGAACGTTGTGGGGTGGTGGAACGTTGCGGGGTTGGGGCTTCTAGTATCTGCTCCATGACTAGACTAGGATACAAGATGAGCCTTTTCCTTGGAGTTAACCTTAGCTTGCTTTGTGTCCTGGGAGATGACGTCAAAGCCAGAGGCTCCCGAGCCACGCTACCCCGATAAAAGGATCTTGGGTTGATGAAGAGATGGGAAGGCGCTGGCAGCGACTGTACGAGTACATAGTACCGTAGTCGTGACTCGGTCAAGTCCGATCCTTCAGGGCTCTCTGACTCTTACGCAATTGTGCCGTAGGTTTTCGCTTCGGCCGCTTCTTATATATTTCGAGGCGAGAAGGTCTGAGGTGCTTTTGACAGGGCTCATTTTTGGTTGTTCATCGGCTCTATCATAAATTTATCAAACCTTATCATCCAAGTACGAGTATGGTATCATACTGTACTGTACAGTACCCCCTCGTAACGGAGTCAAAAGCACGCCAAGATTATCTGGAAAAAATGGGACATTGGCTGTTCGGGCTCACTGTGCTAACATTCTCGTTTCTAGTGATCAATGTCTTGGTTTACCAACTCGCACCGTTGATAGACCTGGGGATCTCCCGTCACGGAATCACTTGCGCAGCTGAACTTGGTGATTCGGTTCAAGCACCTGGAAATTCATACGAGATCTCGTAGAAGAAGGTATGATATCATACCGGTACTCGGTTTGAAAATCTGGATTCTCGGCAGCTCGTGTAGGCTTCAATAACGAGCAAATACTTTGTATTCTTCCCAAAGCTTGATGTGCTTATCGCAATGGGCATGGTACTGTACTCGTACTGTAAATGTTTTTTTGTTTTTTTTTGGGAGGGGGAAATGGATAGCCGAATGACCCCTGGTTAGGTTGTTGTATAATACCAAAGACTTTCACTTTTGGCATGAAATGCACGACCAACGCTCGAATACCGGTATGTCACCAAGCTGTACTGTACTATACTCGTACTGTACGGTACTGTACCGCACTGCACTGCACAGTACAGTACTTGCGTGGTACGAATCCTTTCTATTCGAGGGGAGGAATGCGGCGGCGTATGGTCGTATGTGGATGGGAGAAAAAGTGAATTCTACACCCAAGTATGATACATAATATTATGATATGATATTATTACTAACCTACTGCAATTGCAAGCGGGTTATACCTCCTCCTCTCTGCCAACGAAAGAAGTTTCCGCCTAGAACGGGAACCGGGTCAATCGCACGTGGGTGCATCATTCGTCGCAGTGATGGTGGTTGTTGGTTGGTTGTCACCCTCACGATCCTGTTGCTGTGGTATAGTGGCAGCCACTTTTGCAGCAAAATTTACTTTAGCATGCTGAGCTAGGTTATCATCACTTTGATCTTGGGTGCTCTGCCCCCCCACGCACATTTTTCTCTTCCTCATCCTCCTACACTTCTCCCCTTCCTTTTTTTTCCTTTGCGTTTCCCTTCCCATCCTCTTCCCTTCCTTCCCTACTTAAACCCTTACCGTATCCCTCTACCGCGAGGGTACGACCGAGAGCAAAAGATGTTGGCGGCCGGAACCGTTCCCCCAATAGAAGGGGCGGTAGGCCGGTATAATTGTCTGGGGAGGCTGATCGGGAGTTTCTCTTTTTTTGTATTATTCGTGCTGTGCGTTCCCTCTCTCCTCCTTCCCCCTTTATATTTATCGTGCTAAGGGAAATGGTTTAAAAACAGCTGCGTAACCCAACTCTTCTCAATTGCCACAACCATCGTGAGAGTGATCTACACCACCAACCTGCAGACCCTCCTCCTCAACTTTCCCCTCTCGAAATCCGTCTACCCGACAAGTCGAACGCGGGATATCCTGCCCAAGCCAATCCATAGTCACAACGACTACTGGCGCCGTGTTCCGGCCTACACGGCCATCAGTTATGGGTGCATCTCCATAGAAGCAGACGTATGGGAGTACAGCGGCGAGCTCTTCATAGGCCATGACGTCGCAAGCCTGACGAGGAACCGGACCTTTAGAAGCCTCTACGTGGATCCGCTGCGGGAGATGCTGGACTCGCAGAACCCAGACACGGAATTCACCCACCCCCGGAAGGGTGACGACGAGGAGCCGGGCGAGCCAGTGGGCGGAAGGAACGGCATCTGGGACGTCGACCCCGGTCAGACGACGCACTTGTTCGTCGACTTCAAGACCCCCGGTCACAACACCCTGCCCGTCGTTATCGCGCACCTGGAGGCGCTGCGAACCCCGGTAAACTACCTCACGTACTTTAACGGTACGCACGTCGTGCGCGGACAAATAACCGTGCACCTCACCGGCGACGCGCCCTTCGACTCCATCGTCGCGAACTCCACCTACCGCGACTACTTTTACGACGCTCCGCTGCGCGACCTGTCCAATGGCCGCTACACTCCCAACAATACCATCGTCGCATCGGGGCAGTTCGGGCGGGATGTTGGCAGTGTCATATGGGGACGGGGAATGACGAAGGAGCAGAAACACATTGTGCGTGCGCAGATTGCTGAGGCGCATAAGAGGGGTATCATGGCGCGCTATTGGGATACTCCTGGCTGGCCGATTAGTGTTCGGAACGCGGTCTGGGGTGTGCTCATGCAGGAGGGGGTGGATTTGTTGAATGCGGACGATTTGAAGGTTTGCTCTTTCCCCCTTTCTCTCCTTTCTCAGGAGGGGGCTAATTGGAGCAGGCGGCATCGTATCTAGATTGGTAGGAAAATGGTATAAACTGCTGGCAGGAGAGGTAAGCAGGGGAAAGGAAAGCAAAAAAAAAAAAAAAAAAAAAACAATCCACAAAATGTGGGTCCGAGTTCGTACAGTATTGAATGTATATATCAGACTTATCGCAGGAACTTATTTCACCACACCGATAGCCAACAATCACACACCACCACACTCGAGTACTGGTACAATTGCAAGATTTCATTCAAGTACGCTCATTCGCCGTATTCAATTCATTCATGTGTCAGATCGCGTTACCCTACATCACTCCCCATACAGTAGTACCAACAACCTCGTTTCACGAGTATTGGCAGAACCACGATTGAGGCCACCCCACCTACGTGGAACAATACCGGTATGACACAAGTATCATGGGGATAAAAAAAGGTAACGCCACCTGCTTAAGCGCCGGATGATATACCAGCATGGTACGAGTACTCGTACATCCTCCGCGGACCCTCACTGAAGCAGCCTCGGCCGAGCCACCACTAAATGACCCAGCCACCCCCCCTCGGCCCTCGAGATATGATAGTCTATCAGGGAACCTTGAATGTGAACTTGAACTTTGTTAGACTACCACAGCAACGGTCGTACTGTACACCCCACTAACGCCGGTATGTACTCGAGTAGACCACTCGTAGTGTGAACTGAGCAGGGAAATAATAGTTTAAAGGCATTCAGCCCCGGTGGTCGAAAGTGTTTTCTTTCTTTCTTTTTTTATAGCTAGATTTGTACAGTACAGTGTGCGGAAAAGGCATTAGTCTGGCCAAAGCTCCCTTCACACCGAAAAACCTTCCCCCAAAAAAAACGGGTCTCCGAAAACCCCGGAGCTGAATTGCCTCTCTACTTGCAATCCACGAGTAAACAGGGGCGATTTCATACACGCTGGAAGTAGTAATAATAAATATTTGCACACTATCACAGCCGACCGTTCTGGATGGAGATCAAGTGATATCACATGTGCCGAGGTTGTGGTTGGTGTTCCTCTCGGCCTCTCTTTTCTCCATTCATTCTGTAATAGCTTTATGGGACAAGGCGCCGTTCTGGTTCAAGTTCGTCCTTATAGCTGAGGCCCCCCGTTCGTGGAATTCCTGGTGTGGACGGAGGGTGGCAGACTAGGCTATGGAGGTGACGGAAGTTGTGACCCTTGTGCTAGCTTGGCATGCTGTGGCTTTGTAATGGTTCGGTGGGCTATGATACCTAGTGTTGATTTTAAGAATCGAAGGTGTGAGTTGGGCGGGGTCCACGGCTTCCTGCAAGATTTGTTGGACACGGTGGTACTTGTATCTGCGAGGCAGCGTCGTGCATTTCTTTCCTGTGCGGGTGTAACACTAGGGTAGCGACATTGCACCGTTTACTCGTATGGGATAGGGGGTGCGGGAGTGTAGTCTAGGGATGGGTTTTGGCCAGTGGAGGGCCTCTTATGAGTGGATCACTAGTTTGTCGTTGGGGAGGAGGGCAGTATCATACATATATCTAGCTCTGACTTGAAAAAAAAAAAAAAAAAAAAAAAAACTTTTTCGATCAGGTGAGTAGTCACTATTCGAGTGAGATTTGATGATCGCCCTACTTCGAGTTTTATTTCTTTGAGCATGTTCTGAGAGGTTTCATGTTTGGAAATGGTTGGGTTTTATCATTTGCTTGGGAAATATTGAATTGGCTTATATAGTGTGAGAAGAAGAACCCCTCCTCCCACCTAAGAGAATCTCACCGAATACTAGCCTACTGTTTATTCACTCGATGTTAATTGCTGAAACCTCCTAGCCGTACTTGAAAAACTTGAAATAATTTTTTAACCACCTAGCCGATTAGGTAAATGAAGGAATCCAATATGTGTAAGCTTTAATGGAACTCTAATTGCCTTTGAGGATCTTTGACGGGAGGACTTACGATACTATCGGGGGGAAGATCATATATCATGGATAGAATTGGTAGGATAAGAGGCGAGTCCCTGCCTTTTCCGAAACAGGATACCGCAAGTAATACTAATTATTATTTTTGGAGTCAAAGGAGAGCAATTGTGTGCAGACAGGATTCACTGTGGGTAATATCCTAGTTTTGCTTCATCTCAGAGCGTACAAGTTAAAACGGGACTGTCAGTCTTTTTTAAGTATTCCAAGTGGGAAGAAAACACATTACAGCCTAGAAATCGCAAAGATATTGCAACAACTGTAAACCCAAAAGTTTCACTCCACTATTGCGTGACGGCGCAAGAGTTTAGGAGTGACCCTTCGGCCTTAGAAGAGAAAAGGCATTGAGAGCACCGTTTTATGATAAAGCGCAAATATCCTTGGATTGAAATTTGCAGAAAGCGGTTGAAGGGTTTGTGAGGTTGGAAAGTAGTTCTATGGTGCATCGAAATTTGGAATTGCTCGCATGATACGTGACCAGGATAAAAACCTTGTCGTGGTTACGGAATGGTGATAATGTCCTTCCGGCGAAGGATTGCTATTGAGAATTGGAACGAACATGGCACCCCCTTGTCGTCGAAATGCTATTGACCAAGTCTATTCTGGTAATTGGAATTTACAAAAATTTTGCGATTTTCCCCCTCACGGAAAGCCGGTTTAGTATCACCAGTCACGAGGACTATAACTGCCCGGAAAAACGGGGGGAATAAAATAAAATAAAAATAGGTATGATATCATACTAGTGATCGGCATCGACCCTTGTGCTCTTTGTGCATGCCCACGGGAACTCTGCAGCCCTATCAGATCGCGGCGATCTTTCCCAACGGACTTCTGCAGTAGGCACAGCCAGCCAGCCAAGGAAGCTGCGGTAAACCTCCTGGAGATGCCTTAATTACTGTGTCAACTCCTTCCTTCTCTGTCGGTATTCCCGCGAAAGTTTGCTGTCCGCTGGTACTTGATTTATACACTGCGACGGGAACGGCCGCATCTGATCAGCAATACCGGGGTCGATTGTGCCCTTTAAGAACTCAACATTACTGACGGAAACGTGCATGCTCGAGCAGGTTATGGGGGGTTATGCTCAGACAGATTGGTTATACCCGGATTGGGTGATCGAGCATGTCCACCGCTCGATTGTGCTCGGGCCTGGTCGTTACGATCGGTTCTTCTCTCCGCTAGAGCTGCTATCGTGTGTCAAAATGCATTGTATTTGAAGATTTAAGCAGTTTAGTTCAATCCGATTTCCAACTGGCCACAATTTAGCTAGTGAAGCGACTTTCGATAAACACAATTACTCCGAGATCTCTGAGCCTGAGCTATTGGCGCTATTCCATTTGCTTGGAGCATCGGATTCCGTTTCTGCCACTTGTCATGGAATGGGGGATGGTGAAAAGGGAGGACATTGTTATAGCGTGAATTTCAAAGGAATTTGTGTCGAAGAGTTGTGACAATAATAGGGGGTCTTAATGAGAATATTTTATCAAGTATGATATGCGGGGTAGACACCTTTTATTAATAGATGATAATATCACATGATTACCTAGACATTGATATATGGATAGAGTGATCGAGCATGATCTGATCGTATCCGCCACTACCGAAACCGGGTCTTCTGTCGTAGGACATAATTATGCGAACCCTCCCTGCTCCCCCTTACTCGAATACGTCTCCGTTGAGATTAAAACGATTTTTTATACTGGCCCTGCTAACACCATTTGGTAAGCTTACGGTAAGTTGCCATATCTCTAATATCTCTAATATGTACTGAGCAGTTGCGCCAAGGAGTGATATCTCATCTCATCAAAGTTTCCGATCTGATATCAGGTAGGCTGTGCTCTGATATACCCCGGTGGTATTTACCATCACAACAGGATTTTGCTTGTGCGACTATCCATATCTTCTCCCCCTCAGACTTTCAACATTCACAACGCGCTCGAGCGTAGATCGAGGGGATACTAGTAGTACTGTATCGTGTTGTATTTATCGTGCTGTCCGACCCGCGAAAGGCCGCGCTACCGATCACGACAAGAGGGCGCGGTCTCGATATGAGAAGCGAAGAGCGGGTCTTGTGTATTAACCCACTGGTTTCTGCTGTTTTCAACTGTATCTTGTCATACAAGAAAATACCTTGTGTGAACCACACAGGGCTGTTATTTTAGGTTAAGTAGGTATTTCGAGGAAGGACATTGATCAAAATATATAAAATGTAATTGCTTACCGTACAGATTTAATGTAATTATGATAGATTAATAACTTTAATTTAATGTACAGCGGTCAGTAAGGAACCAAACCGCCACTGGACTGAGACATCAATTTTGGTATCATATTTCGGATAAGTGAAACTCATCAAAATAAAAAGGCATAACTGAAAGAGTTAATCTCTCATTCTTGGGTAACTATGAGGTTCTTAAATCATAATAGGCATTATGGTAGAGAAAAAATAGCCTTTAGATATTAAAAGACTAACTGGAGCTAGGAAGATACCAAGTAATAATGTAACATGTTCACTAGGTGCTGATCATGTTTCTGAGTATGATAGGAGACAGGTGGCTTGCTCTTCCAGAGAGGAAGCAAGAGCTGCAAACTAAAGAAGGCTTTAAAGGTATATTAGGAAAACTAAAGAAGTAACTGTTCAACCAAGTATATTGAAATACTGTCTGTCAAAGTCTTCCTCTTCCATTGTGGAATCAGGTAGTTTTTAAATACACAAATCTGTTTATGTCTAGTATGAATGAAACTAATTAAAAGTATCAAGTAATACTTTTTGGCAAAATAACTTAAGTATCAAGCGATACTTAAAACAAAACATAAAACAAACCAAATATTAAATAACACTTAAAATAAAACATAAAACAAAATCCTTAACTGATTACCCATACTGGTTAGATTCCTCAAAATAAAATAACTGTTAAATAGCCAGTTCTCCTTCTATTTCGGGTTGCTCCTAATTGGTAAAAGTGAGTATAATGGAAAAGCAAGTGTGACGTGCCAGTTTTTTTTTTTTTCCCCTGCAAAAATGAGCCTCATATCAGTCTACAGCAACAGACTCAATACTCTAAGGTAACAGGAACAATACAGTTAATAACAACCATCTCTCTCTCTATCCTGTGAGACCTACTAAGATACATTCTGG